AAAGGATATTATAGCTTTGGAAAAAGTGCAGAAAAGGGCAACTCGAATGATAAAAGGGTTGGAACACTTTCCCTATGAAGAAAGGTTAAGGCGCTTAGGGCTCTTTAGCTTGGAGAAACGACGGCTGAGGGGTGACATGATTGAGGTTTATAAGATTATGCATGGGATAGAGCAGGTAGAGAGAGAGGTACTTTTCTCCCTTTCTCACAATACAAGAACTCGTGGGCACTCCATGAAATTGCTGAGCGGTCGGGTTAGAACGGATAAAAGGAAGTACTTCTTCATCCAAAGAGTGATTAACACATGGAATTCACTGCCACAGGAAGTGGTGGCGGCTACAAGCATGGACGGCTTCAAAAGGGAATTAGATAAGCATATGGAGCAGAGGTCCATCAGTGGCTATTAGCCACAAGGTATAGATAGGGGCTCTGGGGCAAGGGATGCTCTGTCTTCTTGGTGCTTGGGGGGGTCAACAGTGGGAGGGCTTCTAATGTCCTGGCCCCACTGGTGGACCTCCTGATGGCAGCTGGTATTTCTGGCCACTGTGTGATACAGAGTGTTGGACTGGATGGGCCTTTGGCCTGATCCAACATTGGTGTCTCTTATGTTCTTATGTAATGAAGCTGATGGGCAGTAGATTCAGCTGGGACAACAGGACACTCTTCTTTACACATAAGTGATTAAAATGTGGAATTCCCTTCCAGAGGAGGTAGTGATGGCCGCAATCATAGACAGCTTTAAAAGGGGGTTATACAGATTTGTGGAAGACTGGTCTATCAGTGGCTACTAGTCATGGTGAATACAGGGAACCTCCACATTCAGAGGCAAGAAACCTCTGAATACCAGTGCCAGGAGGCCATTGCGTGAGACAGGATGCTGGACTAGATGGATCACTGGTCTGATCTTACAGGGATCTTTTATATTCTTACAAATACAGTTATGTACCCTTAACTGTTTGTTGAAGTCATATTCTGAATACAGTTTAAGTTTTATATTACAGTTGAAATACTCATGGAAAATAGATTGTTATTTTGAAGGATTTCAGACAGCCTATCTATTCCGTTTCAGGAACTGGTTACTAACAGTTATTTCCTGTCATTTCAGACAGACCCGTTTTAGTAACCAGCTGTTAATGGAATATATTGATTTGTTCATACAATGCCAGTTGTCTCCCATTTGGGAAGTGTGTCTGAGGCGTTGTTGATGAAAACTGCTTTCTTCAGGTCTTCAGTCCCTTCTTCTGGATCTGAATCGCTACAGTAGGCTGTGTAAAATGCCCCATAGCACTTCCTCCAGTGACGGGTTTTTCACGCCCTTTTTCTCCCGGTGCACAATCTCTCTCTTTTTAAATGTTCTATTGGGAGTGCTATAACGCTATAACAGGATGTCAAATCAGTGTCATAGCACTCCCAATAAAATGTTTTTAAAAAAACCTCTCAGGGAGATCATGCATGTGGAGGAAAATGGCAGGAACAGAAAGTGGCACAGTTTGAAATGACCACAGTTTTTCAGAGATGGCTCCTTACTGGAAGGGAAATGCTCTGTGAAACAGCAGTCCCTGTTCCAGTTTCCTCCATGACAGACCAATAATGGAAACCATGCAGTTTTAAAAGGTAACGTGAAATCAACCTTTATATCGGAGTTATTTTCTCTCTTCTAGGTTTTCAGGCAGAGGTCTTTCACATCACCTACTGCCTGGGTCCTTTTAACTGGATATACCAGGGATTGAGCCTGGGACCTTCAGCTTGCAAAGCAGAGGCTCTTTTCTGATCAGAAGTGTACTTGGAATTTGCTTTTCTGCCTTTTGCACAAAGGATGGGGATAAATAGCCATGCTCATGGATCTGCTTCTCCACTGTGGTGTGAATTTGGGAATTGATGTCCTGGTCGTATGTTGGAATCGCTGTAATCAGCTCTCTCTGGGTCAAACCTTGGTTGTAATTGGAAAATATTTTCCTCTAATCCTTGGCTCATGTACTACCTAAACACCACCATCTGTGCAGAAGGAAGAGGCAAATGCCTGAACTAGGAGATCCCACATCCAGACAACATTTTCTAGATTGGCCATTTACTGTTCCCCTTACTACTGTAAAGAAAAACAGAGGAGAAGTTGTAGAAAGTCAGTGCATGAAGTTATAAACGTCTGTGATCTGTTATTTGTTGTTAGTGGTCTCTCTCCCTGGAGAGAATTATGGGGTGGGGAGAAATTATTTATTTAATTATTTGATTTATACCCTGCCCTCCCCGCTGAGGCAGGCTCAGGGCGGCTATCTGAACCAATGCCATGCCATTTATTTTTGGGTTGGGAAAAAGAACAGTTCAGTAAATACTTGGGTACATCAGACTAGGTTTGATGAGCAGGAAGGAGGAGTGCCTGTGATCTGTATAGCCTCTGTGGCACTTAACAGGTTTTTTGTTACCCAAAATCCTACCTTTGTGGGTATGTACCTGGTGCTCGGCACTTAGGATAGAATAGGGATTCTGTTGGTGTACTGCTCACCAGTGTTCCGTCTAAGCTGAGTTAGCATGAGCTAGTTCACAGTTTTTTTAGCCTCCGGCTCAGGAGGGATGGCTCCAGACCAAACTAATCTATGCAGCAGCCAAATCACTTGCTCACAACTTTAATGCCAGTAGCTCACAAAGTAGAATTTTGCTCACAAGACTCCACAGCTTAGAGGGAGCATTGGTGCTCACCCTGTTGGCCAACTGTACCCTTGCTTGTGTTGTTTGAAGCAGTCTTGGATTTGGCACTGAGGACCCCAAAGTTTGTCATCCTTGGGGACCTCAGTGTTGGAGTAAGAACATAAGAACATAAGAGACGCCAATGTTGGATCAGGCCAAAGGCCCATCCAGTCCAACACTCTGTGTCACACAGTGGCCAGAAATACCAGTGCCATCAGGAGGTCCAGCAGTGGGGCCAGGACATTAGAAGCCCTCCCACTGTTGACCCCCCCCCCAAGCACCAAGAAGACAGAGCATCACTTGCCCCAGAGCCCCTAGCTATACCTTGTGGCTAATAGCCACTGATGGACCTCTGCTCCATATGCTTATCTAATTCCCTTTTGAAGCCGTCCATGCTTGTAGCACCCACCACTTCCTGTGGCAGTAGAAATGGAATCAAGTTTAACATGAATGCTCCCGAACATAGCTGAAAGCTCATTAGCCTGCTTACTGTGCAGCAGTGATATCACTTCACCACAACCATTACATCTATGCTGTGGTGTCTAGCTGAGCTTTTTTGGATTGTGAGGGGACTCTTATCCAGGGTTCCTGAGGATGCAGACCCAGAAAACATTCAGGCCTGCTGTAATACTTTTGTGATGCATTTTTCAGATAACTGAGATTCTGCAGTTGACACAGTTCAGTTTCTGGATGCTTGTGGAGTGCAGTCTTTTTCATTATTATTATTATTATTTAATTTTATTACAAACAACAAAACATAAATACAACATGCAACTAGTACAAATGCAGTCTTGTACTAGTTGCAACCTAGCAGTTCGAAAGCAAGAAATTGCAAGTAGATAAATAGGGACTACTTCGGTGGGAAGGTAACAGCGTTCCGTGCGCCTTGGTGTTTAGTCATGCCGGCCACATGACCACGGGAACGTCTTCGGACAGCGCTGGCTCTTCGGCTTTGAAACGGAGATGAGCACCGCAACCCTAGAGTCAGACTCGACTGGCTTTCGAGCAAGGGAACCTTTACCTTTACCTTACTAGTTGCATGGATGACTTTTGACGGGGAGTTCTGATGAAGCAGATAATCTGTTTAGAAGTGTGGGGGCCACCATGTCTAAGCTTGACACTTGCCCTTTGTGGCCTCTGGTGTCAAGCCAAAGCTGGTTGATTGAGTGGCTTTGTGGGTCCCACTTAGGAGCGGAGACATCTGAACTCATGCTGAAACCAAAAATTTAGTAATTCTCTACAGAAGTGGGTAGTGTAACTGCGGTTGTGGAAAGACTTGGAGTGGGTTAAATTAATTTACAATTTTACATGCAGTGAATACAATAATTTTCGTTGAAAACTTGTTGCTTTTCTCTCCTGTCTTTCTTAGGTGGAAAACTACTTATTGCACCACTGATACTGGTTTTGGGGCTGGTAATGGGAGCCATAGCTGTTATAATAGGTAAGACCACAATGTGTTCCTAACTGTATACTGCAGCATTTCGAAGTATGGAGTATTTCTAATTCAGAGAAAGCTATTGTTGGGGAGGGTTTCTTTTAAATCTGTCTCGAATATTGCAGAAACATGTAACAAACTGGATATATGTGACTTCACCAATGCTAATCAAGTCCTGACCCTGTGCAGACAGTGAAATCAACATAACAGGCCCAGGCATATTTGGGAGAACCTTCTAATAAGAAAAAACAGATCAGCTCCCCCTTAACTCCCAAATGAGAGTGGGGAACACTTCAGAAGGGGCCTCTGCAGTCTGTGGACATTTGGGATGTATTACAGACAGATAAGATTGCAAAGACAACCAGAATAGCAGCGGAACTGTCATGAGATTTTGGGCACCTCTGCCTAGGATCAGCTGTCAGATATGATGCCTGATTCTTAACTGCGGTTGTGGAAAGGCTTGGAGTGGGAGCAGCGTACCTCAGCATCTCTTGGGTTGATATGACAACCTAAAATGGCTTTTGAAGTCTTGTGACTTCAGGCACCATTGTGCTTTCCCAGGGCAACCTAGCTGAATGGCATGATCTCTTTGGTACTCAAATCAGGGAAGGTGGACAAGAATGGCATCAGTGAGAGGAAGAGTGGGGAAGGATTCTTGTGATCAGTGTTCCCTCTAAGCTGAGTTAGTGTGAGCTAGCTCACAGTTTTTTATCCATTTTTGTTTTAGCTCAGGAAGGATGGCTCCAGAGCAAACCAATGTATGCAGTAGCCAAATCACTCGCTCACAACTTTAATGCTGGTAGCTCACAAAGTAGAATTTCTGCTCACAAGACTCCACAGCTTAAAGAGAGCATTGCTTGTGATTCCTGGTTGGCTACACTGTTGTCGAAACATTGGAAGTTAATTCTTTGTAAAGGTCCAATAATTCATAAATATGTAATAATATGGCTGAACTATACAGGACACTGATGATTCCAGATCAGATCTCGACACTTGTTAATTCTGTTTAAAAGTGTCCGTGCGGGGGGGGGGGGGGGTTTTTGAATAAAGGCTGGGGCGGGGGGAGGGGAGGGAAAGTAGATAATATTTTTATCTGAGACAGAGTGCCAGAAAAAGAGGAAAGATAATTAACCCACCCCACTCCCGATTTGCATTGTAAGGCCCATCCTTACCCAACACCCATCTCCTTCCCAATGTTTTCTTTCAAAGAAAATTAAAAGTTTCAGGAGATCCATCATGGAACTTTTCTACGAGTTCTCAAGTCTTCTGTACTGACCCCTCATTGCTTCATAAGGTGAATGACCAGAATTAACCATAAAGTGGAAAAAGGAACAAGATTTTTCAGTAAGTGACGAAGTGACCAGTTAAGAGTTGATATTCATATATCAACTTGTTGATTCACCTGCTAATGTTTACATATTTAAGAGAAATCCATAATCATAAAGTATCAGTGTTTAGAAATGTGCATTCAACATTGGGGCTTAGAGAAAAGGGCTAGTATTGTGTAAGTTGCAATAAAATCTAAATGTGAGTCTACTTTTAATACAAGGTTTGCTGTCTAATTATGATGGGTTTTTTGAGCCTAACTTTTAGGATTAATATTTCTAATGGAAATTAAGCATTCTCTGATTGACTTAACTCATAGTAACCTCAGAAACAGCATAGGAGTGCATGTGTTGGTGCCTACTGAAGAACTTTGTACAGTATCCGTAATTCACTGTGCTGTATTTTCTGTTTTCGGCAGGTTTATTTGTGTTTCCTATCTATTGCCTTTGTAAAAAGAAGAGGAAAAGGCCACAAACAGAAATGCCCTGGAATGAGTGAGCATAAATTGAATGGAGCTGATCCTACAAGGCTTATGCAAAACATGTGCAACACAGCAATATCCTGCTGGTTAACTGTCTTGAAGCTATAGCCCTGGCAGAAACTTAAGGGACATCTACTGTATTCTCTGTATACAATACACTACTGAAGACAGGCCAGAATGCTTCCCCGCTCTAGTGCCTCAGAAGAAATGGAGGCTTCTCAACTTTTTGAAATGTTTCTTTTTAAATAATAATATTTAGAATTTATGTTGTGCTTTCTGTGCTTAATCCTTACGATCCTTGCAATGTAGGCCAGTATTCTTCCCCTGTTGCAGACAGGCAGTTGTGGCTAAGAGAGTGGCTTGCTTTAAGTCCCTTGTGAGTTCATGGTAGATGTGAAATTTGAAATGGGGACCTTCTAGATTACAGCTCATACTTGTAGTCGTTACACTACACCAGCTCCCATTTTATTTTTAAGCGTTCGGAACGGCTTCACTTTCTTGGCCAGCCTGTGCCTGTGTTGTAGCTGCACATCTGGTGATGGGTCCATGAAAGAAGCATTTAATTTGTCCCACACACAGTTTAAATTATTGATGGATTTCTCAGCCTTCTGTGTAACATGGGTCACGTATTGCCAGGTACTGGACTCGGAATTTAGTGGGCAAGACCATTGCCCTGTGGGGCTTGTAGTTTGCAGTTGGCTATCACCTGGAAACAGTCAGTGCTGGAGGGGCCAGAGGATGGGTAAGCTGTGAGCTGTGGCTCTTTGCTCTGGGGACTGAAGCAAGGGATCCAACAACCACTCACCCTTCTCTGCAGTACCTGTGCTCTCATCTTGGTGCAACTGTTCAGCTGCCATGAGGAAAGCAAGCTGGTCACAGTTGGAAGCCTGACTGCCCTTGACTTCCCTCACTGTCTTCTTGCTGTCTCCCTGGCATAGGGCAAAATAGCCCTGGCCATCTCTCGCCCAAGCTCTGAGCCTCAGGGTAGGGAGAGAGCAAGGAGACAGGGAAATAAAGGACATGCAGGCTTCACATTACAGAAACCTGCTGTGAGCCAGCCGCTAGCGCTGGCTTGGCACTTTCCTTTGAAGTGCTCATGGCCTGACCCAAAGGGAATGTAATGGGAAACCAGAATGCCCTTTGTCTCCCTGGCACAAGACAGAGCAGGCTTCTACAGTTGCTGGCCTGACCTAAGCAAGCAAGCTCTGCAGAGGAAAGACGGGCATGTTTCCCCTATAGAGCCCCTACAGAGCCCATATTCAATAGTCATATGGCTCTGTTGTTTGAAGGTATTTGTGAATGTGGTTCCCCATGAGCCATACAGTGAGTACCACTGGTTTAGAGAGACCAATAATGTTTAGTCTATTTAACCTTCAGACACAATGAAATGAGTCAAGGAAAGAGGTAAAAGCTGGCCTTTTATGATCTCATATACAAACACTGTGGTATTGTGGCATATGTCTGCATACTGTAGTCCACTTTTTTATCATATGCCTAGCATTCAGGATTGTGGCCAAAATAAGGGCAAATGCACAAAGTTGGATATAGTTTGGAATATATTCCAAATTGTTTTGTTATGTACAGCTGGGCAGAATAGCAATTTGCCCTGAGAAAATCCTGAAATTCACTGTAAACAATATCAATGTACGCCAAGTATGCTTTTGTGTATTTTTTCTTGGAAAATTCAGGTGTATCCATATTTCAGTATTGGCTGCAATACGATGTCATTTGAAACACAAGGTCAATTAGTAAAGTCCTTCACAGGGTTTCATAGCGGTCCTTGAGAATGGCATACCTGCCATCATGTAAACAACTCATGATATTCATCATCTTTGGCATGAAAGGTTTACAGATATTTATTGAAATGCCCGGCTTGTGCATAATATCTTTCATGTGCTGCTGAATATGTGAGCATTCAGTTCCTGAGCAAGGTTGCCTGCTACATACAACCTCATCCCTACCCCTTTGTGTTGACTCACAGCACCAGGAGGGAGAGCGGGCGCAGGCATGCTGGCCCTAACTCCTACCTTTGTGTGATTACCTGGTCATCTGCAGAGCGTGACTGAGCAGAAGAGCTGGCCATGCGCACAACTCTCCCCATGGTCAGCAACATTCTGAAAGCAACATCACTGATCATACTTCCTCTGCACAGTCACACTGGGCAGGCAATCATGCAAAGGTAGCAGGTGGGGCCAGCACGCTTGTGCTTGCTCTCCCTTCCTGCTCAGTGAGTTAACACTTGGGGGAGGGGGTCTGCGCAAGGCTGCTCTCTACTATGTCATAGATCCCACTGCTGGGCTGAGTATCTAAATTGGCCCACATGTACAGGTACATTGCATATTAGCTGTTGCATTAAAATGTCATCTCCTAAATTTTATTGTCTTTAAAGGACTGTCAGTCTGATAAAACTCAGTGATACATTTGGAATGGAGGAAAAATTATCTGGAGATTTAAAAATAAGTGACGCTATGTTTATTATGGTTATCTTTTGCTGGGATATGAGACAGGTACAACTGCCTGATATCAAGTTTTAAAAAAAGAGAATCAACATGGAGTCTGTCATCTTTCTGTATTAATATGACTATAGAATATAAATTAGAGGAAAGAAGAATAACACTAAGAAATTGTCAAAACAACTAGCAGAACAAAATCAGATCATATGCTAAAGATTTTAAAAGTACATGGTATATATTGTTAGAAAGGAATTTCAGAACTCCTGTTTGCTGTATTCTTCAGTTGGTTGTAAACCTAGTCAATTCTGTGATTTGCAAATTAAAATGCAATATTCTGCTGTTTGGCATACATCAGCATATGATTACTGAAGCAGTTTGTTAATCATATAAAGCAATCCATAGTGCATCTTATGGCTTGATCTTTGGGACCTCAAAGCCTGCAATCAGCAGAACGTTTTTCTTGTCTGGCAATGTCAGCCTTATATTTGGGTTCAATATATTAGTTTTAGTAAGCGTGCTGTTTACACCTAATAACAACTAAATTTATCATTATTTCATCTAGTAAAATTACATTGTTCTCAGTGAATTCCAGAAATCTAGCAGCTAGTTAGAAGTAAATAAGATTTTCAGGTTTCATTTTTCCTGTTACAGTTCCTACCCACTATGCCATTACACATGTTTTAGTTTACATTTAATACATCTTCCCATCATTTTGTTATCTCTCCAAGTTGGACTACTGCCTTAAATGATCTTTTAAAAGATTGTATACTTTTGCCTAGCCCCAGATAATTGTGTGTTTCTCAGGCCAAACTTATGTGTTGTCTTTGGTTTACTCAGGGATTTTAATCCTTCATTAAAAATACTTTTGTGAGGAAAAATTTCTAATATTTAGGACATCCATTCATCAGAGTTATATCATGAAATTTGTTTTTTGGTGTGCAGATTGTGTTAAAGCAATGTCGGAGCATCTGTTTGCTTTAGAATAACTGATGTACTACTTGTGACTTTCCTATAATTTTCTCTTTTTGTTGTTGTTGTTCTCACTGTACACACCTGAAATATGTAATCCTTGGAACTGGTCCAGAAATTTTCATCTGCAGCAGCAAGTTGCATTCAGAGATACTTCTGTGTTCTAACAGGTGGCCAGAGCATTAGAAGTGTTTTAGCTGTCACAGTCACCTGCGAATGTTTTCCCCTTACACTCGTAGACACCTTTTCCCTCCAACAGGAAATACACACGTCTTGCTGACAAAGTATCTTCACTGATACAGGTACAGGGTTAAGATATTCCACATGATATGGGTGGTAGGTACAGATTTCTTCTCCCTGCAATGCTTGTTTGTGTGCATGGAAACCACATCCAGAAGGGCAGCCTGCAAACGGAAGCCTGTTTCTCCAAGTGAATAATTCTTGATAGATAAACATGTTCCACTTTTTAAAATTTATGGACATTTGCTATAACTGGGGCAGTTATCTCAGGTACGAAAAGGTTTGTATTAGGGTGGGTGAAAGGCATGATCAGATAGAACAAACTTAGGTGTATCTATATATGAGGAGAATGCAAAGTTACAGATGAACATGTTTTTCACTAAAATTTGGAAATGTCTTATTAATACAAAATGTGCCATTTTAAGAAGTATATTTTATATTCTGTTTTATATTAACTGGTCTTTTCGGAAGATGGAGTATCAGTGGTCATTCTTATAAAAAACAAAACGCAAGAGATTAATTAGAATCCTGGTTTGCTGACTCCTTTTAGTAGTTTTCCTTTTAAAATCTCCTCTAAAATATTGTTCTTAAATTAGATCTAACAGTACATCAGTGAAAATCCTCATTGAGCAACCATGAACGGTGTACTAATACATGTGCAAAATTATATTCTGACGAAGCTCTAGCATGTTACAAGCCATTACCTAATTTGCCTTACATAAGTCTATAATATTCTGTATTGTTTATATATTACTTTAAAGAGTTTACTTAGTCCCAATTGCAATGCAAGATGTGTTTCTGCCTCTGATCATACCTCACTGAGATTAAGGGAATATTACCACCACCGTATTTGTTTTATTTATATAATGTATATTTATTATACTAAAACAATTAAAGTAAACAAAACAGTTTCAACATTTTGATTAAGGACAGTTCTGTCTATTTAATAGTGCTAAAGAGAGAAGGCAGAACAATTTGGTCACATTGAGCATTAATATAGTATATTAATTGCTATCTATCTGTATGTGTCAGCCCCAGGACTGTTGGATAGTACATTATTATTTTTTCAAGGTATTACAACAATGCCAAACAAAGAGAACTGTACTTGTATTGCTGATACGTGATTGGATCTCAATACTAATGTTATTGTGTTGAGCCTGATGTAAGAAAGTATTCACATTCAGCCAGGATTTGACTTCAGTAAACAGGAAGCTTTTACTGATGCTAAGAAACTACTATAATACTTTGGAAAACCATGGCTAATCTGGAGCTTTTAAAAAAACTCAAGATTTCCCACTACAATTTTACAAAGGTATTCATAGTATAATAATAATAATAAAAAAAATTGGCAGCTGTAAACATTGTAATTGTCATAACAACCCTGTTTCATAATGTGGTACAATCTTGTCAAGTTATACCATGAATTAGAAGTAATATACAGCAAATGTATATCTCCTGGGGTAAAATCAAAATCAATTATATCTGAATAATTTCTACCCCTTTGTCTTCTAAACATGTCATTTGGTACAAATCATACTGTAAAAATAAGGAAAGTT